CTCTTTATCATTCGTGAGAAGGATCTGTCTTCTCGATACAGTACGAAATCGAGTATTGAGTATTGACCTCTTCTCTTCTCTTCTCGGTTTCTCTCCTGCACGAACTCTCTCTACCCCCAAAAGGCCAAAAACCCTAAAAGCTTTTGATTCTTCAATTTCGATCCAATCGATGCCTGTCGAAGAAGTTTCCGGTGAGACTCCTCCGTCTACACCTCCGCCTTCTTCCCCCTCCGCTGCTACCAAAAACGCCGCGCCGTTAGGATCCTCCGTGATTCCGATTGTAAACAAGCTACAGGATATATTCGCTCAGCTTGGAAGCCAGTCTTCGATCGAGCTTCCTCAGGTAGCTGTTGTAGGAAGCCAGAGCAGTGGCAAGTCTAGCGTCCTCGAAGCACTCGTCGGACGAGACTTTCTCCCTCGTGGGAATGATATCTGCACGCGTCGCCCTCTCGTTCTCCAGCTTCTCCAGACCAAAAGCAAGTCTAATGGCGGATCCGATGACGAGTGGGGAGAGTTTCTTCACCTTCCTAAAGATCATCGTATCTATGATTTCTCTGAGATTCGTCGAGAAATTGAGGTTTTTGTTTCTTCCTTTTTTTGAATTTTGATTAAAACCCTTTTCGCCATTCCAAGTTCGGTTTCCTTTGTTGCATTTGATGTTCTAATGTGTGAATGCAATATCTTTGTAGGCTGAGACGAATAGATTAGCAGGAGAGAACAAAGGTGTATCAGATAAACAGATTCGTTTAAAGATATTTTCACCTAATGTATTGGATATTACGCTTGTGGATCTGCCTGGTATTACCAAGGTGCCTGTTGGTGACCAGCCAACGGACATCGAAGCACGTATAAGAACGATGATCTTGTCTTACATCAAGCAAGCTAGCTGCTTGATACTTGCTGTTACTCCTGCAAATTCCGATCTAGCAAACTCGGATGCCCTTCAAATTGCTGGAAACGCTGATCCTGATGGTGAGTTCAGATAACAAGTCTAGTGAGGAGGAAAAAATGGTTTATTTAATGGGTTGTATTTGACATTACTCATCTTTACCTTTTATGTATCTGTCTCCAGGTCATAGAACAATAGGTGTAATCACAAAGGTGCATATTCCCTGTCCAGACATTTGTTTACTATCATTGTAGTTTGGTCTTCAAGATAGCCGTCCCTGTTTGTCATGTATTTTACTATAATTTCTCAATGTGTCCAGTTGGATATCATGGACAAAGGTACTGATGCTCGAAATCTACTTCTTGGAAAAGTTGTTCCTCTACGACTTGGATATGTGGGAGTCGTAAATCGTTGCCAGGAGGTAAAGTCGTGGTCTTGTGGTTATATGTCATATGTTTATCTTGCTATCTTACAGCATACTGGCTCTGCC